AAAGACTTGTGTGGTCTGATGCTGAGTGAAGTGAGCAGAACCAAGAGGACTTTATACACAATAACAGCCATGTTATGCGATGACTAATACTGTTAAACTGAACCCTTCTCAGCAGGCCTCAGGATGGAAAATGCTGTCCGCATCCAAAGAAAGAACTATGGAAGTCGAATCGCTATCACTTATTTTTACCTTCTGTTGAGTTTTGTTCCATCTTTCTGATGGTTCCTCCTATTGGTTTTAATTTTTACTTACAACTTCACTAATGTGAAGATATGTTTAATAGGAATGTAAATGTAAAGCCTATATCAGATTGTGTGCCGTCTTGGGAAGGGAGAGGGGGAGGAAGGGGGAGAAAAATTTTCAACTCAAAAGCATATGGAAGTGATTGTTGATAAATCAATAAATTAATAAAATTGGGAAAAAAATAAATGTTCTTGCTTTTTGCTCCTATTCTTCTAGCTCATCTTTGATGTCTGTGCTTTCGCATTCCTGATCTATTATTCTTTCTTTTGTTTCTTTGGTGAGATTTGCCATCACAGATTCCAGTTTTTCTTTTTTGCCTGAGCGTCATTTTTGCTGTGCTGGCCATACATTCTGCTCTCCCAATTCTCATTTCTCTTTTGAACTGCTCAGGGACAGTGTGTTGTGGTTCCATGTCCAGCTCACATTCCACAGGATGCTCTGTCAAGTCAAGTGTTGGCGCATTTTCTTTTGTTTTCCAGGATTTGTTCATAGATGCCTGAACTCATTTACTAGATCTGGAGGCCACATTTCCTTCTGTTGTTAGTGTTTTCCTGTTAATTTATCTGCTTATGTCAAAGGCCTTTCAGTTTTCTTCTTCCTGAGGTCTCTGGTAACTTCAGCCTTTCCCCGCCTGATTTTCTCCTAATTACTTTCTAACTTATCTCAGCCTTCTGCCACATTGGGCAATTCACTGTCCCCAAGCCTATTCTCTGTCCTAAGAGAGTTTTGGGTGGTCAGAACTGGCCCCAGATGGATGCTGCAGGGGATAGTGGGGGAGAGATAGGGGAGAAGAGCTCAAGCTTCAAGGCATCTGCATGAGACCTTCACACACACACACACACACACACACACACACACACACACACACACACACACACACACACATCCTATCCTGCTGATCTGGCCAGCTTCCTGTGTTCCTCAGTTCTCTTCTAGCCTGGCCCTGTCAGCTTAGAGGACTAATGAGCTGTTGGTAAGGGCTTGTCAGCCCTAGTACCAGCTCTGCTGCCAGACTTGTCCTACCCAGCAGCAGTGTTCAGGGTGATGTAATGCTTTGCTTAGGGGTTGTCTGCCCAGCTCTGGCTCTCTATCTCAGGTGCCAGCAGGCTTTTGCTCCTGAAGGGCTCCAGAGCAAAGTTCTGCAACCTGGAGCTGGGGGCTCCCTGACACCGGAAACGGGGTTGGTATTTGTTGCAAGCTGGTATGTTTGGGTCCTTGGGTCTGCAAGTGCTAGCATGGAGGGTGGGGAAGCAGGGGTGAGTGACATCAGGGACAGTGAGGATGGGCTCATAGACTTGGGTTTTTTTTCACCTTCTCTTGGATTCTGGGTGTCCCAGACCACAGAGATAGCTGAAGTTGCTTTTTCTTTATTGCATAATTTCTATTTTGGAGAGGCTTGAGAGGTTATGAGGATCAGAGAAAATGTCTAGTTCAGCATCTTGTTATTCACATGGCCCAGAAGTCCATTTCTGTTTTAAAATAAGTTTTTAATTGATGTCTTTTTTTAATCACCTTAGTTTCCCTGTTTCCCTCCTCTTCCCCCTCCCCAGAGATCCATCCCATATAACAAGTATTATTTTTGTAAAGACAAACAGAAAAAGAGGGGAGAATCAGCATAGTTGACCAATACATTGAAAAAATGTGCAATGTTTCTGGACCTGCTCACGTTGCAGAGGAGTAGGTTGGGAACATCTTACATCTATGTTCATTTCTTACAGCACAGTAAATGCCATCACATTCATATGCCATAATTGATGCACATTTACTTTATTTCTAGGCATTTGCTATCGTAAAAGGTATTGTTATTAATATTTTGATGTATCTGGGGACTTTCTTCTTATCATTGACCTCCTTGGGGTATATGCCTAGTAGTGGAATCTCTGGGTCAAAGGTAGAAACATTTTAGTCATTTTATTTGCATAAATCCAAATTATTTCCTGAAATGGTTGTACTATTTCATAGCTCCACCAACAATGCACTAGTGTACCTGTCCTCCCACCATTCCTCTAATATTAATAGTTTGTTATTAATGAACTTATATTAATAATTGTTATCTTGGAAATTTTCTGAATGTGAGGCAAAATCTCAAGATTTCTCTTATTTTTGCATTTCTCTTATTTTTAGTGAACTGGAGCATTCTTTCACATGGTTGTGGACACTTGGCGATTCTTTTGAGAACCATTTATTCATATCCTTTGACCACCAATTAAGTGGTGAATGGCTTTTGATTATACACACACACACAGACATAATACACACATATAATACACATGCACACAAAAATAATGTACACATATAATACACATACACACATACCTACATGTATAATGCATGCATATCACACAATGTTTCTATATCTTGGATACCAAACTGTTATCAGAGAAGTTTGATGCAATGGTTGTTGTACCCCTCCCCCCACCCCCATTCAACCACCTCCTTTTGTCTTCAGTCCAGTCATTCTGTCTATGCAGAAACTTTTTGATTTCATGCAGACTTACCTATTTTCTCTTTCCTAATTGCCTCTATCCCTTGTCTGGTTCAGAATCCATAACTTACCTATGTCTGTGAGTCAGATATAATGCTTTTTTCTAATTTTTTGTAGTATGATCTTTATATTCAGAATACAGTCCATTATATTGTATTATTTAATATGGTATAGGATACATGTGTACTTTCAATTAACAAGGATTTATTAAGTACTTCCTCTATGCCAGGCACTGTGCTAGGCTCTAGGGATACATATTCAAAGAATAAAACAATTCCTTCTCACAATGAACCTTCACTCTAATAAGGACACCCAAGTGCACATAGACCACACACAATGTTGGGAAGTCTGGGGTTGCCTGAGAGGGAGGGCCTTGAGCAGTCGGGGAATGGGGAAAGCTTCCTGCAGATGAAGGTGCTTGAACTGCTTCTTAAGGTGGAAGCAGAGGAAAGGAGGGAGGGCATTCCAGGCACAGGCCAATGACAAAGCATAAAGATGGGAGATGGAGGGTTGAATTTGAGGAAAAGAGAGGACAGTTTGGTTGCACTGGAGAGTAGGGGAAAGGGGAGCCTCGCCCAGTGAAGCTGAACAGGTAAGTAGGGGTCAGTTGTGTAGGGCTTCGAAAATGAGACGTTCGGGTTCATTTTAGCTTGGAGGTGATAAGGAGCCACTGAAATTGGAGCAGGTGAGTGAAATGGCTGTGCTTAAGGAAAATTACTTTGCCAACAGTATGTGGAGCAGATGAGAGGGAGAAAGAGGGAGAGCCATCAGGAGGCTTCTGAAATAATCGAGGAGAAAGGGGATGAGGGTGGGGGAGGGAAGAGAAGGGGTCAGCTGCAGGAGAGGTTGAGGTAGCAGTGGCGCGTTTGACACTGACCCGACGCACGGGATAAGGGAGAGTGAGGAGTGTTGGGGAGGACACCAAGGTTATGACCTGGGTCCTGGAAGGGTGCTGCCTTCAGTCGAGACAGGAGCTTTGAAAGAGGGAAGGGTTGGAGAGGAGAGATCATGAGTTCAGTTTTAGACATGAGTTGGAAATGTCTCCAGGGCTCTTCTTTGAAATGTCCAATAGGCAGATGGCTAAACTTGAGAAAACTGTTTACAATCTGTGGATGCCTCTGCTTCCCCTCCTCTCCTGCTCCTCTTAACCCTTGGCATGCTGGTCTCCAATCACATCATGCCACTGAAACTGCTCTCTTCAAAGTTACTTAAGACCTTTCTGTAAAAAAAAAAAAAACCCCAAAACCCCCACCTTTTCATTTCTAACTCTGAATTCAATCCCTCCTTCCCCTTCCCTGCATTGAGAAAGGAAGAAAAACAAAACCAGTTACAGAAACAGATCATTTAGCACAATTACAATGGTTCATTTTCCCTCCTATGAACTCCTCTGCCCCTGGTTTGGTCCTGAATGCTGCTGTCTCTAGCTATCCGTCCCTTTCCTGTTCAAGATGTCTAAATCACATGCCCATTTGGAACTTGTCTTGGAGTATGGCCTGAGATGCTGGTCTCCACCTTGTTTCTAAGGTCTCTTCATTGCCAAAGCCAATGGCCTTTTCTCAACGTTCATCTTTCTTGACCTTGTCTCTCACCCTCTTCTCCTGAACACCTTCTCTCTAGGTTTTCAGCACACTATGCTGCCACCTGTTTGCTCACTCCTTTTCATTCTCCTTCATCCAGGTCACACTCAGTAACCATGGGTATCCCCCAAGGCTCTGCCCTGGGCCTTCTCCTCTCCCTCTGCACTATATTGCTTGGAGATCTTATCAGCTCCCTTGAGTTCAGTTATTATCTATGCTGATGATTCTCAAATCTACTCAGCCAGCCCTGATTTCTCTCCTAACCTCTAGACTCCTATTTCCAACTCGCTATTGGACGTTTTGAAGGGGATGTCCTCGGATGTTCTCTCTTGCCACAGAGGGCACCACTATCCTCCCAGTCCCTCAGACTAGCTCCAAGATGTCATTCTCAGTTCTTCCCTGTCTCTCATCCCCCATATTCAATCTCTTTGCCAAGGCCTCACCTTTGCAGCATCTCTAGGCCGCACCCCCTTCTCCCCTCTGAAGCTGCTTCCCACGGGGCAGACCCTCATCACCTCAGACTTGGACTATTGCAGTAGCTGGGGGGCGGGGCTCTGCCTGCTTCAAGTCTCTGCCCACTCCAGTCCTGCTTTTATTCGGCCACCAAAGTGATTCTCCCAACCCTATCCAATAAACTCCAGTGGCTTCTGAGATTACATGTAAAATGCTGTTTGGCATTCAAAGCCCTTCCTAACCTGGCCCACTCTACTTTTCCAGGTGTCCCCGGCCATGTCCTCTTCCATGCCAGTGACACTGGCCTCCTGGCTGTTCCAGCAATGCCGCTCCATCTCCTGGTCCGTGCCCCCTTCTGCCTTGACTTTGCAGCCTCAATACTAGGTCTCTGTGACTTCCTATAGTTGAAAAAAGTCCCTGCTCCCAGTGGCCAAGTTTCCAGGACCACCTCTTCAAACCAAGTGGACAGCAGAGAGCAGCGCCTCCTGGTGGGGCCAGCCCGCGTTGACCCTCTACTTGCAAAGCTCTTGGGAAACAAGGTAGCGTTCCCTCCAGACAGAAGCAAGAAGGTTTGAGCTCCGATGGACCCGTTGGAGGCGGACATTGTCCCCAGCGGCCCCAATCAAACCCGCATCCGCTTGCCTGGCCTGAGTGAGTGAGCGCTTTTCCACACCCCGCACCAGAAGGGGGTCTGGGGTGTGTGTGCGTTGTGGGGGGCGGGAGGGGCGTTCCAGGAGCCCCTGTCCGGTCTTCTGGTAGCCCTCAGCCTGCGCTCTGGAGTCCCCCTCCCCTCGTGGAGGCGGGTCCGGGGGCGGCCTCAGCAGCCCCGCCCCGCCGGGCCCCCGCCCCTCCACCCGCGCGCGGGCGGCCGCCGCAGCCGCCGCCACCGCCGCCGCCGCCAGCATCGCTGGTGCCGCAGCTCCCGCCGCCTCCGCCCCGCGCCCGCCCGCCCGTCAGTCCGTCCATACGCCTGTCGGTGAGGCCGAGGCCAAGGCCGGGGCCGGGGCGGGGGCCCGGCGGGGGCCGGGAGGCCGGGCCAGGCTGCGGGGTGGGGGGCAGCGGGGCCCGAGCCCACCATGCCGCGCGGCTTGGGCGTGGGTGGCTTCTGGGCGCTGCTGTCGTGCGGCCTCGCGGCCCTGTGCGCCCTGGGCCTGCTGTCGCCAGCGTGGATCGTGCCGCCCGCTCCCCACGGCCCCAAGACGGCCCCCCCGCCGCCTCTGGGCCTGCTGGGACCCTGCCTAGCCCCAGCCCCGCGGCCCTGCGCCCCCTTCGCCCTCGGGGGCCTGCGCAGCTTCGGCGACATCCCAGCCAGCGCTTGGCAGGTAGGTCACACCGTGTTCTGCCCCGTCCCAGCCTGGTGGGCCGGGGTTCCCCCCGCCCTGCCCCGACGGCCCCAGGACCGGCCCTCCAGCGCCGTCCCACCGACCCATTTCGCCGCCGCCCTCGCCCCCCAACCGCCAATCCGCGAGCGCACGCACACACACACAAATACAAACACACTCACACTCACACGGGCACACACGTGCGTGCACTCACGCTTGCTCACCCTCACGCACACATGCGCATCATCCAGACCGTTCTGCTAGTCGGGCGCTGGGAAAAGCCTGGGCTTTCTGGCGGACACAGGGTGACCCCTTGAGGGAAGAAGGAGTACCCACAGAGCCCAGGAGAGCTGGGTGCCCATCCTGACCCTGCTGGGCCAGCCTCCTTGGGCCAGGACCTTTCTTCTCCCTGGCCTGCCTCAGTTTCCTCTCTGCAGCATACAGGGGCAACTCTGGTCCAGCCCTCCTTACATGTTTGCCTTGTTGAGGGGCGGAGGGATGTTTGCAGAACGAAGAGGCTCTTATCCAGTAGTGACCAGGACAGGTCAGGGGTCATGGGGGTTAGGGGAGCATAGGTTCCATGACCAGCCCAGCCCAGCCCCCTGCCCCTGGTGGAGACTTCTTGGGGACACACGGGGAGGGGTTCTTTTCTGGGCAGGGGTGAGCCCGAGGGAGCCGACTGTGAGTGCCCTGGTGCTGGGCACTAGATAGGGGCGGCCTGGCTGAGTGTGCACTCTCTGGCTCTTCCTGCTGAACTGTGAGCTTATTGGCCACGGAGGGAAGGCCTGCCACACAGGTGGGGGTCCTCAGCCACCCTCTTTCCTCTGATGAAAAGGGTACATTGGGGGATGGGGAGAAGTGGTCCTTGCTCCCCAGGCCCTGAAACCTGTGCAGAGATGGGAAGAGATAGGAGGGGGTGATGAGTGCCAGTCATGGGGCTGTTGCCTGGGGATGCTGGAGGGGGAGGACAGGAAGGAGGTCCAGGTCCAGGCACATAATTTTCCTTGAAAAAACTGGGCCTGTTTAAGAGGAGAGGTTATGACAGCTGGGCTGGGCCCCAGGCCTCTGAAGAGCTGTCTGATTGTCTCAGGGATCCCCTTTGTTGTGCTGGAGGGGGTGGTGGGGAGGGGACCCCGGAGGGAGGGGCAATAGCTGGTGGATTGGAGCAGCCAAAGAGAAAGACTGAGAAAGGTCTGGAGGGCTGGAAAACCTCCCTGCCCAGGAGAACTGTCCATCTGCCAAGTGCTGCCTTCAGAGCAGGAGGCTCTGAGCAGCACTTCGTGCGAGGCTGAGAGGAGATTCTGGTTGAACTCAGTGGCCTCTGAGGTCCATTCTCCTGAGCTTCTCCAGCTCTCAAAAGCCTGTGACTGCAAAGCCTCGGTGCTGCCCTGGCCCCCACCCAGTTGCTGCCCCACTTCCCACTTCCATCGCTGCAAAGCTGGAAGGAGTTCTCTACAGGGGTGGTGCCTTCCCTTCCTGCCTCCCTTCCTCCTGGGTGCCTTCTGAGTCCCTTGGCCCCAGCCCCCTGCTAAAGAGTGCCCTCCACAGTGTCTGCTTTCTTGGCTTCTTACTGTCTGCTGCTCACCCCCATCTCCTTTGGGCTTTGGCTCTGATGGCATCTCCTGAGCTGTCTCTGCCCACTCTTCCTCTGCTCTCCTGGAATCCTTTTCTTCCTGCCTGTCTCCTCCTGCCCCTGCTCACACCTAGGTCCTCTCCTCTCCTGCCTTCCTCTTCCTCTAGAACTCTGAGTTTGACAGCCTCATTCCCCAGCTCTCCAGTGTGGTCTCAAGGCTGCAGAGGAGGGTCCCCAGGCCCTCACTGTCCTCACACCTCCAGCTGCTCAGCCTGGCAGGGCCCAGAGGGAGCCAGCTGCTCAGCCCCACCCCAAGGGCTGCAGAGGAGGATCCCCAGGCCCTCACTGTCCTCATACCTCCAGCTGCTCAGCCTCCTCCCCCAAGGCTGCAGGGGAGGATCCCCAGGCCCTCACGGTCCTTTAGCTGCTCAGCCTGGCAGGGCCCAGAGGGAACCGGCTGCTCAGCCCCCACCCAAGGCTGCTCTTCTTCCAGCCTCAGGACTCGCCACTGTGGCTCCAAGGCACTGGTCACTGAGAGCTTAGGTTTGGCTTGGACCCTCTCCCTTCCCTCTCAATGACCTGTCCTGCTTGGCTCTCTCACCACATCCCTAGGGCATCAGAGAGGCCACCATAGCCTCCTCTCTGTCCCTGACAATCTACCCTGTGCTCTGCTGCCAGGCTCATCTGCTGTAATACCTTTAGTCACTCCCTTGCCCACTGAGACAAGTTCAAACTCTTCTGGCGTCCAAGGCCCTGCAGTCTTCCTTGTCCACCTCCATATTGTCCACCCCTATGTTACTCCCTACCACATACTCTCAACTCTAATTCATACCCGCCTCTGCCGGAGGAATGGGGGCTGCCCACTCACTTACGTCTGTGCCTTTGTTCACACCGTTCCTCTCCACCCTTACCTGTCCTTTGAAGCCCACCTCCTCCAGGCAGTCTTCCTCTACCACACTGCCACCCTTCCCCCAACATCTGTGGCAGCTCCCTGAGCCTCCTCTAAACTTTGTATCTCCCTCAGTCTTGGGGCAGGTGAGGTAAGTCACACATCAGGGCAGAAGAAAATATTAGGTCTGTGCCCTGCCCTCCCAGCAGGGCAGCCAGCATCTGCTAACGGCCCAGCTCCTTCCCTGGGCCAGGTCTTCCATTCTCCATGGGCACCCCCAGTGCCAACTCACCCATCTGTATGGTATCCTCCAAATACCTTGGGAGGAAGGCAGGACTAACCTGTGTAGCCTTATTTTACAGATGAGGAAATGGAGGCACAGAGCATTGACATGATTGACAGGGGCATAGCCAGGAAGGGACAGAGACTTGGGCCTCTGGCAGGTGTTACGTAGGCAAGGGAAGGCATGTCCACATCAGGGAGCGGGCATGGAAGGTGCTGGGGACCCCGCCCTGAGCAAAGAGCAGGGAATGGGTAAAAGCCTTGAAGCTGTAGGCTGCAGGTGATAGAGGGAGCTCTGAAGAGGCTTGCACTAGGGAGGGGGCAGCAGCCGCAGGAGTGTCCTGGTGGGGGGCAGGAAGGGAGCCAGAGGGGGCCTCTCTCTGTGAGAGCCTGGCTCCACCTGCAGCCCCCCAAGGGGCCCACCCCATCCAATGCCTTAGAGGCTTCACCTGGAAGACAAGAGGAAGGGAGGCAAGCCCTGGGCCCCATCTCCCTCCTGGCATCCCTTGGGTCCCTGATATGGGTGGGGGAACTGGGGGAGCCTGGCCCTGGATCCAGCCCTCTCCACAGCCCCTGTTTCCCAGCCCACATGCATAAGGAAGGAGTGCCACTGATGCTCTGAGCTCTGCATTCACTTCAGGTTCCTTCCCAGCTCTAAAAATAGCCTTGGAGCCCAAGTATTTTTGCTGCAGAAACAGGACACCAGCAGGTCCCTGCTGCTCCACACAGGCACGTGCCAGTAGCGTTGGGAGCTGGGGAAGGGCCTGTGCAGCGGGCACATTCAGAGCCCGCCAGGACCCTGGGCCCCCTCTCCAGCCAGGCAAGGCAGCCAGCAGTGCTGGTAATGGCCCCATCCTAAGGCAGATGTTTGCCAGGGTGGAAAGAGAATTGAATAATTTGCACTGAGTGCCACTAGCAGGTGGGTGGGCTCAGCAGCTCTTCAGAGCCCAGAGCTCCAGATCTGGATGGCCCCAGCCTGGCCCCCTGGGAAGCCCCCAGAGAGCCTGCGCTAACTCAGCTCCCTCAGCCGGGCCTCACTGTCCTGAGCGTATGCTGAGGTGGGGGCTGGTGGCCTGGCCCAATAGCCGAGGCACATGCCCTGGCTTTGAATTGTGGCTCTGCTGTGCACGGCTGCCCTCTCTGGGCTGCTTCAGTTTCCTCCCCTGTACACTGAGAGTCTGGATGACATGTCCCAATCCCTTGGTATTCTGAGGCCCCAGCCCTGCCCAAGGCAACCCAGGTGGGCAGCTGGTCTGCCCATGGCCTAAT